GCATTTTCTATCTTATGATCCTTGTGTTGCCTATTAGTTGCAGAAACGTACCTGAGCCTCTTATATTCTTGCTGAAAATGTGAGAGGAAAAGGCTATAACTTAAAGCAACAAATTTTGGCTGCTGCAACTTATATGTGGTTGATCAAGCACAATTTTTGTCCGGTAACTTGGCGTTTCGAGTTTATGTCAACCAGCATGATTTTCATATGGGGTTCTGTTGACAATCTTAGACGGGATTGCTTTGCAACACGTCACAATTTTCCTCGGGGCAACATGATCCTTAGTAGTGTACAAAAAATACTGAAACATTCTGACCAGTTGCTTAAAAAGTCTATTAAGATAACCCGTATTTGGCTCAGTTATTATCATCTGAACCACTGATTGTACCTGTTCGCTTATGCTAGATAGTCAGGGTATTGAAATTGAAATTTAGTTTACCCACACGATTAGGGTGAAAAATGCTAAGTGATTACTGAGTTTTGTATATCATATTTGTAACAAAAAAATTAATACTACTTCCCTATAGTACTACCAATCTCAACAGGGCAGAATCTTGTGGAATTTGAGAGACCTCTGATTCTGAAATGCCATAACTTCCCTTTAGAATACAACAAATTCTCATCACACAAGAACTCCCGTGAAAACCATTTCTCTATGATACGATCTACATCATGTACTATTACATCTGAAGTATTTCCAGCTCTAGCTAGTACACTAGCTGTGTAAATGGACCCCATCCTCCCTGGTGACTCTGGGGAATCCCCACTGGGTCCATCTACCACCATGACATCCCAGTTCTTCACATACACTTGTAATGGCAAGTTTTTCAATGCCAGCTTACATTTTGATTTTTGAAGGAATCTAGGATTTGGTACACATGCAGCCGCGTTCTGTCTTGCGTGCTTGAGCAGTTTGTAACCTGCTTTTGTTGGCATGTTATACTCAAGTTTGTATATTTGAGTGTTGTTGGAGTTTATTCTTACCTTGTTTATTTTATCAGGGTCATCGTCAAGAAAGATGGTGCTACCAGCAGCATTCATTTTTGAGAGGACGAGGTACTGGGGTTGAAACCCAAATATAAGGAGGTTGCATGGGGATTTAAGAGCAATGAGATCTGAAAGAACTTTGAATTCTTTCTCAGTTAGGGTGGTTGTGATGTTGGGAGGTTTTCCAGGATGATCTGAGGATCCAGGTGTATGTGATGCAATTTTGTTGCAGGTGGACAAAGGTGACGAACAATTGCGTTGAGGAGCTGGAAACAAAGCAGATATCCCGGTGGAAAAGGATGAAGTCTTGACATTGAGGCTCAGAAGTCTGAGGACTGATATGATTGAAAGGATCAAAACAAGGATGGGGATGAGTTTCTTTTTGGTGAGATTCATCCCTTTCATTCCTTGGCAATATTTGTGCACATAAGTTTGATTTTCTTGTGCTCGAGATATGAGTGAAGGAGAAAATTGAACTAGAGGGGATAGGAGAGGACGAAAATGAAGTACATCTGGGGGCATCTTAATTTTCTTCAATCTCTCCTTTGAGCAAACTGCTGTTACATTACATCCTTCTCATAGTGTTGTGAGATTTTGGTTTTAACAACTGTTCTTTTGTGTGGTCCTTCGCATCTTGTTGAGTAGGGGTGAAGAAATGCCTTTGCTTCTGTTATAAGTGCCACCTTTCTTTTCATCCAGCTGCTGCTAGCTACCTAATTGTTGTGGTTGCAGGTTAAGTTCTAGAAATTTTTTGCTACACGTCTCATTTAGAAAACATTTTCATTTGAATCTTTTGTTTGGGTGCTGACATGCGTCCTTAAATTTGGTTTGTGGTCATATTTTCATTTTGGATGCTTGTTTGGTGGTCTTGAGTAAGCTTTAAGATGGCTAGCGTGTTGGTGGGGGGTCTTTTTTTTAAATTTCAGCACTTATGACTCAAGAGTCTATTATCATTTGAGGTTTGTGATAGTGAGCAACCATTGATTGTTATTTACACTCTCCCTTTCTGATCTTAGATTTTTCACTTGCAAACTGAATTCTGAACTGGTGAAGTTTGGCATAGGAAAATCGACCAAATATAATGAATGATATCTTGTTTTGAAATAGCCCAACCAAGGACATTTTTTACCATAAAGCAGCTTCTTATGTCTAGGAACAAATACTTACTAGATTTTGTTAATATTCATTACTGCCAATGACCAGAGAACTGATTATTTACAATTTATTTTTCTCTTCTATGTTCCAACTATATATCCTAAAAAAAATATTGCCAAGCTTGATGTACGAAAAGAAAACTAAAGAGTCCAAGACAGAATGATGATTTGAGGAGTTTACCTACAGGAACCTCAACATTTCCTTAAGATTCATTCATTGAATTATGCAGCTACACATAATCATTCACACATTTGTTTCATGTTTATGTCTGTTTGTTTAGTCATGTTTATATTAAACATAGGAATTGGCATCTCTAAACGGCCAAATCTCCTCTCTCTGACTTAATAAAGATGATAAATAAGTATATATATATATATATATATATATATATATATATATATATATATATATTGGTGTTGAAATTTTTATGCTTTTTTAAAGATTATGATTGGTATATTCCGTAGTGAGAAACAGTACCAAGAGGACGAAAATACCCCTAACAATAACATATTACTTTGCCGGAAAAAAAATAACGTTCTTTGTGGATTGTGCGCGCAACATGTAGCGCGAGACCGGGAATGCTTTAATAATTTTCCTTCCAATTTTCAATTCAATATTATGCACCTCTATTATACAAGTTTATATATATATATATATTACAAAATCATAATACTATTGTCTTTCCTTTGGTGAAGATTCTAAAAGAATTTCTATTAGATTATAGTCTTATTTGCAAGTTTCGCACCTAGTGGCATTATTAAAGTTGGGTACGATTTTAAAGTGCAAGTACAATTATAATAAAAGTTTGTATGATTTAAGATATATAAAAGTATATAATATTTGCAATTACAAAAAAATATATGCATAATTTATTTAAAGAAACTAAAGTAAACAATTTAAGGAAGATTAACTAAGAATAATATACTGAATTGCTTGAAAACATGCATATAATCTTGCCATGAAAAATTATATTTAATTAAGATGACTAAGAATTAAGTAAACAAATTAGGTAAAAACTACAAAATACTTCCAGTTAGTAATAACTTAAAATTTGAAGTGTTAATACAAAATATAAAGTGCTAAACTGTTTTTTTCTAATATAATATTTCTTTAAATAAAAATGAGTGTACATTATATTATACTAGTATTTAATGGCATATATTAAAATTTAATAACATGTTTATTAGTATAATATATATGATATTTTCAATATTAACTATAATGTTCGTTTGACAAATTACACTGACAAAGACTAATCAAATACTTTGTTTATTTTTATTAGGTTCAAGTAAAAATAATAATTTTTTTATCACAATAATAATTTGGGATGTTTGTTTTTCAAGTGTAGCATGTGCATAGACATGATCTTAAAATAATAAATTAACCTTAAAAAGATATCTTGGATTAAACCTATTTTACATTGCGCTGAAAATCTTGAGTAGATTCATTAAGTTTGATCCGTTAAGTTAATTTTTTATTCAAAGTACTTAATAAGTTTATCTATTTTATAAATTTTCCAAAATTTATAATAGGATATAATTAAAAGAGAAGATATTATAAAACTAGTAAATAAAGTAAATATTTTAAGAGATGATCATAAATAGTTAAATATTAATTATGGTTTAAGAAAAAAATTATTAATAGATTTAACAAATTAGGAATAATTTGGTTCATCAATGTAACTCAATGTTTAGCTCAGGCCTAGTTTAACTCAAAAAGTTTTTTTTTTTTAATATAGCCCAAAACAACACACTTTCATATGATTTTCTTTCTTATTTCTTCAAGTTAACGAATGAATGGCTCTTTAATTCCTAGCAAGCATGCAGGCAGAGTAGCACATTTCATCTCAAGAATCAATTACTGTAAACCCTAATCATTAGAATCTTAGTTTCATGTGGAATTGGATCTCATCATGGGTGGACTTGTAGACCAAATTTCTTTCACAGTCAATTCCGTTCAGGTTTTCTGCTGGGATTTCATTTTTATGTCTAGCAGCCGGGGAAAGTTAATTTTAAGAGTCTCTTTCAAGTTGTTAACAAACCAACTTTTCCAGTAATTAAGGAAACTTAGAACAGTAACTCTGATATAATGCTTAGCAGAAAAGATTCTCCTTGGAATCAATGGCCATGGCTTTGTTGAAATTCTCCCATTATTGTGAAATGGTCATTTTCCAACCAAAATATAAAATTCCCATCGTGACGTTACTCTGCCAATAAACACAAATGGTGATGCCGTTGCCATTGGAAAGCCTCACCCAAAAACTCACTCGTAACGTGTTATTTACCTCGATTGATGGAGTTAGGAATCAAAGCAGAGTTGAAATTATAATTGAGGTCTAGTCTGAAAACCAATAATAGTAGGTACAAAAGTATTATTCCGGAGAATACTTTGTAAACCATGCTTATAGCAATAGAAGACACCACCAGTTCATCGCCACCTACTATCCTAGAGGGTTGCTATTGTCCTTGTCGGCTTAATAATTTTATTTTAGTTTTTGTTTAATATTTGATCATTAGATTCACATCTTCAACAAGAAATGTCATCTTAGGAAGTTTGGCTGGACCAGGTCCTCCTTTCACATAAGCTTTATTCTTCATATCTTTTACCCTTATTCTTCGTTTTGTTGGTGGCTTCTTTTTTGTCCATGGTACCCCATTCTAATTAGTAGGACTCACTACCCTTAAGCCGGTTTTCAATTAGTTTGACTTCATGACCCTGGCCACCCCTTCTTCTGTTAATGGGTGCATATTGTCCTATTTTTCTAGGGGAAGAAATTAAAGTGGTGGTATTTGGACACTAAAAAACAACACTACCTTTTGCTTCTTTTTAAGTGGTGAAGACTGGAGACAAATATTGCCATGGGAACAAACAGCGAGGAGCATGGAGGATCTGGGGTAAAGTGATCAAATTCAAGGCTGTGTTCAGTTTATGTTTCTTGTTAATTACTTGTTGATTTTTAAACTGCAAAAGGTTGAATAATCCCATACCTTATGTCAGATAATTTATCATGAAATGATAGAAGATGAAGCCAAGGACATTCAGAATGTTCCTGTAGGACCTATACACAAATTAATAGCTGAGAATACCAAGTCAAACAGTATGGTTATTAAGGTAACTAGCAAACTCTCATTTTCTGTTTCTTGTACTGACATATGATGTTATATATTCCACTGAAACTTAACCAAAGGATTTAATTGGTTACCAAAACAGAAACCACATATGGTGATTCCTCCTCATATCATAGCAGAAGCCATATCAACTATCCGTGATATTGACATTAGATGGTCAGGTCCAATAACACAGAAAGAAATGGAATATGTTGAACAGTACGTCTTGGCAAAGTACCCTGAATATGCTGGTCTAATTGAAGGGGAAGGGAATGGTATAGACTTGTCTAGCTTTATTATCAATGAGGAGCCTTCAGAACCCATGTCAGATGATAGGAAAAAGTCGCCAAGAGGGACCTTTCGAGAACCTTTGTTTGGTAGTAATCTCCCTGAAATGGATAGGACCCAGTTGGTGCCATCAAGACTGCTGGATATTCTCACCAAAAAATCCTCCTTTCCCGGAAGTTTCATCTCAATCCCAGAAATCCAAGCTCAAAACAAGGTTTTGAAGCTTTGTGGGTTGCCTGATGATGAGTACCTGGTTCTCTTCACTCCAAGTTACAAGGATGCAATGATGTTGGTTGGGGAGAGCTACCCTTTTGTTAAGGGAAACTACTACATGACAATTCTTGGGGAAGAGGAAGACTATATCAGGGAATTTGCTTCTTTTAAGGAGTCAAAGGTGATTCCGGCTCCCAAGACTTGGCTTGATTTGAGGATAAGAGGGTCTCAGCTAAGCCAAAATTTTAGGAGGAAGTGTAAGGTTAGCCTGAAAGGCTTATTTGCATATGAAGCAGATGTGAATGGGACAAACCACTGGGTCTCAGAGGCTCATAGGAACTACTGGCATGTTCTGCTTGATGCCTCTGCATTGGTGCTGGGAAAGGACAGGCTTTATCTTGGCCTTCACAGGCCTGACTTCTTAATCTGTTGCCTTGATAACACTCATTCCAATCCTTCAAGAATCACATGTCTCTTAGTGAGAAAGAAATCTTTTGACACCTTCACTGCTTCTTCTCTGGCCAATTGATGAGTGAGAATGAGTACTTGTTTGATATTTTCAAGCAAAATTTAAACTGCATTGTCTTAACTTGTATCATGAACTCAGTTTAACCATGAGTTTTCCTGGCGTACTCTGTAGATTGAATAAAACTTTTGACACATACATAGAGAAAACCACTTATGACTGGTTCAGATGTAATTCGGTATTTGTATTCATTTGGGTGGTTTGTATTTACAAGTTTTTGAAATTGTGATCCATGGTTTATGTGGCCAAACCATTTTTCCATAACAGTTTAGCTGTTTTAAAGAATTTTACTTGTTACTATTTTAGCTTGCATTAAAGAGTTCCGAAGTCAAATCATATGAAAGTAACTAGAGGCTAATATAATTACCACCACAAAGGTCTATTAATTTTAAAAAATGGAGAAGCAATTACCTGAGTAGGGGCAAGGAGATAAGATGGCTTGATGGAAGATCAAACCTTTGACATTACACCCTAAATTTTATGGAAAACTCTGGAACATGTCATGTCAAACAACAAAATAAAACACAGTAACAAAGGGTTGAGGATTTTTTACAAGGCTAACGTATAAACATTCTCGCATAATTCAATTAAATAATAGAATTGGGTTACGACCTTTTATCACTTATAACTAATTTAATTTTCTCGTATCTCTCAAACGTGATTTTCCTTTAAGTTGGTTTATCTTCTTCTTGCAGAAATATTTTTTAATTAAGAGACTCGTTTACTTAAAATTTGTGTGAACCAGATTTTTATAAAGAAACCATTGTTATGATCTTTCATTTTGTTTTAAATCATATTTAATTGAACTAATCACTAGAAAAATCATCGGTTCTCGTATCATTATAGAATATTTTCGATGAATATTAAATATAGATATTCTCATGGATACAACACGTAGCACATCAATTTCAACCTAAATTATGAATTTTCTTTAAGATGTTAAACTTTTTCATTTTCGTGACCCAAAGAAAATTCCCTATTTTATATAATTTAAAATGTATACGAAATGGAGATGAAGAACATTAAAGAAAACAGATAATGCAATAGAATTTTGAGATATATTCCTGAAGAAAGAAAGAAAAACCATGAATGATATATAGTTGAATAATGATTGAAGGATTCAATTTCAAACTATATTTATCTCCAAACTTTGTATCATTATCCTCAATGGAGAATGATTTAGAATTACTTCTAACTAATTTTATCGTTAGGCAACGTGTTGTTCAAATATTATAAAAGTTATTTTAAATATTTTTTTATGTGCAACGTGGAAAGAGAAAGAATTTGGAGAGAAAAAATAATAATAATAATAATAAAAAAATATATATATATATATATATATATATTAGAAGGAATTTTTAGAGTTTCTATAGTTAAAATAAAAAATTCTAACTGTGGATTACACAAAATATAATTTTATATGCATTAAGAAACTCGTAATATTTTTATCATCAACATCCTCCTACTGTGTATTCCATCCATTCTTGAATACAATACATCTATAATTAATTAACGGTTAATAAGGAAATGTACTTGATTTAGTTAACAGTTTTAGTTTTTTAAATAAATTCAATAAATGATATATTTTAAATAAATTACTTATACAAAAAATAAATTTGTTTGATATAATATAATTATTTTTTTTTAATTTTTTTTTTCTCTCTCTTTAATTACTCTTTTTTTTCTTACTTCATCTTATTCTTCAATTAAAAATAGTAAATTAAAATCTAATAATATGAGTCTTTTATTATTATTAAAAAATAAAAAATATGTAAATAATAAAAAAATACTATAATTTAATATATTATATAAGAAAAAATGATTATGTAATAAATTTGAGATGTTAAAAAGATTATTATTATTTATAATTATTAAAAAATATATTTATTTTAAAGTATTTTTATTAAAAAAATTATATATTTTATCAAACTAATTATCATAACTCAAATTAATCCTAGATTAAATTATTAAATAAAAATAAATTTAAATTATAAATATTTAATATTTTTTTAAGTAGATGAGTAATTATTTATTATGATAAAATAATTTTAAATTAATTATTTACATCATTGTAAATAAAATTATTTATCATCAAATAAATAAAATTATTTATTAGTATCATAAATTTAAATATTTAATTAATATTCTTTTAGTTTCAATGTTGTTTTCAAAATTTTATTTTAACTTATTTCTATAAAATTTTGATATAGTAATTTAATTAGAAGAATACTTGAGAGAGGAGAAATGAAAATAAGAGACATAAAATTTAAAAAGAAAAAAAAAGGAAGATAAGGAATAAACGAAGGATGAGAAAAAAAATATTTATAAAGAGAAAGAAGAAAAACTACGTCTGTTTAGATAAATAAATTCATATAAATTCTAATTTTTTGGAATTATATTTTAAAAAATAATCTTAAATAATTAATTTATGGAGAAAATAATATCAATATTAAAATTTAATTTTTAAAACAACTTTAAAATTGAGAGTTGCATTTTATTGATTAATTAAAATTGAGAGTAAAAAAATGTCATTAAAATTAAAAATATTTTTGAAATCGTGAGTCACATTTTTTTAAATGTTCTCAATTAGATAAAATCAAGCACACGACAAATGTCATCAAGATTAAAAATATTTGTAAAATTTAAATTCACAACATGTTAAAATGTTGTCAAGACAAGCAAAACAGTGATTTTATTGATTCAAATTATTAACCAGACATTTGAATCATAAAAAAAAACTTATTAAAAATAATGGTTTCATCCATTAAAATTTTATAAATTAAATTAATCAATTATTTTAAATATCATTCAATTAAAAATCAATACTAAAAATATTTAACATATTAAAAATAATTTCATTAAATTAAATCAATCATGATTAATATATTTTTACTTATAATTAGCTTAGAATGGATTAAAATATATATATATATATATATATATATATATATATATATATATATTTATACTTTACTACACTTTCACACAACTACACTCATTTATTATTTCTTATTGACATATTGATTAGATGACAACGGGCGGGGACGGGTTTTGCCTCCCGATCCCCGCTTCCGATTTTTTAACCATTTTCATTCTTGTCCTCGATCTCTCACGGGTTAGAAATTAAGTCTCTATCACCATCCTCGCTGAGTTTCGGTTCCCCGTCCTCGCCTCGTTCCCGATTCATATTATTTTTAAAAATATAATTACATTTATAATAAATTAATTTTACTATCTATTTTTTATATATAACTAAATATTTATAATTTTATAATTATTATTAATTAAATATACATTTTAATTTACTATATTTATATTTAAATATATATATGTAAAAAGAAATATTTAATCATTTTTTATTTATAATATTATTATTATAACGAGTGTATTGAAATATTTGAATACTTATAACATTATTATTATAATACATATATATATATATATATATGTATATATAAGTTAATTCATTTTTAAGTTGTCATTTAAAAATATGAAATATATAGTTTATAAGGAAATATTTAATAAGTTAATTCTTATTCAATTAGTTCGAAGTAATAAAAGTTTAAATTATCAATTCCTTTAATCCTTTAAAATACAATTATTTTATTAAGATAAAATTTGATATATGATAAATAAGAATAATAAGATAAAAAATATGACATAATAAAACTTAATAAATATAAATTATAAATAAAATAATATTAGTTACTACTAAGATTTATGTAAAATATTTAGAAAAAGATAAAGGATAAAAAAATTAACTTTGTGTTCATCAAATTGGTTGAAAAGATTGAAATAAAAAAACAAATTGATGGGAGAGATTAACGAAATGTGAAAAACTAAAAGGTAAGAGAGAATAATATAATAAATTAATTGATATAAAAGATTAAAAAAGACAAAAAAATTAAAAAGTAGGTAGAAGAAAAATAAAAATTGGTGAAATATAAAAAAAATGACTTTATATGTAACAGAAAAAGAAAAAGAAATACTTTTAAAATATTAATATTTTAAAATTTAAATTTAAATATAAAGTCGAAGCGAGGTCGGGATCGGGATGGGGTGGGGATTACATTACACATCCCCGCCCCGCTCCCGACTTTTTAAAGCGGGAAAACTCGAACCCACTCCCGCTCCTGATCAACTCGGCTTTTTCCCGATCAAACTCGGGACGGGACGGATCGGTCCCACGGATACTGGATTTAATTCTCATCCCTATATTAGACTTTATAATTTTTTAAAAATAGATAAAAAAAACATTAAGTTAATTTTTTTAAGTATTTATTTGTTTTCTTATATTTCAACTTTTTAATAGATTAGGTCGATCATTTAATCTATCAAAACATAAAAAATATCCTAAAAATTTTAATAAATTATTTTAACTGTTAAAAATACTTTTAAATCGAAAATTATATCTTTAAAAGATGTTATTAAGATTAAAAATAATTTTAAAGTTGATAATCATATTTTATTCATTGGTTGAAATTGTGAGAAAAAAATATCATTTGAAACTAAAACTACTTTTAAAATTAACAGTTATAAGGACTAAAATTACTTTTAAATCAAAATTCATTTTAGTAAAAAAATATCATAAAAATAAAATTAGTGGGCTCATGGTTAATTTAATTGTATTAGTATTTTTTGGTACATTTTAGATATTGTTTCAGTACATCAAGAATAAATACACTACATTTATAACTAATTAACGGTTAATAAAGAAAAGTAGTTGATTTAGTTAACTGTATTAGTTTTTTAGTATTATATTTAAAATAATAATCTTAAATAATTAATATATGGAAAAAAGTAAAAGTAATAACATTTAATTTTTAAAGCTTATTTTGTCCAGTTTTTCAATCTTCATAAGAAAGAGAAAGAGGACATCCATAACATTTATTATTAATTAACTAAAATAATTAAGATTATTTCGGTAAAAAATTTAACATGAAGGATGATTGAAAAAAATATGAAAAATGAAAAAAATATATATGAAAAATGACAAATTTTCAAAACAATGTTTTAAAACATTTAGAGGGGGTATTTTTTTTTCAATCACATTTTCCCCCTCTTTTTTAATTCTTCCACTTATATTCAAACTTCTATTATTATACTTCTTTTCTTTTAAAATAATTGTCATTTTATCGTTTTTTTTAATTAAATCAAATGGTTTTTTGATTTAATTAAATATTAATTAATTATTTTATTCTTTCTTTATTTTCAAAATAAATTATATTAGTATTATTGTTTGGAGAATATAAATATTTATTAAAAAAACGTTGTATTATTTTAATCAAATTATTTCGATTCGCCAGGGAATATACTTAAACTAACACTCTGAGGTGACAGAAAATTTCATATAAATCGAACGAAATCTATTTAGTTATTTTAAAAAATCAATTGGATTAAAATATTTGTTATGTAAAATAGCTAAATAACAATTTATCTTTTTTAAAATTATGAGAATGTGATATTTTATGGAACATAATTAGTATAATATATTTTTCATATTTAATTTTTTACGTTTTATCGGAAATTTAGAATAGTTTCTTATGTATTTATTTTATGACTTAATCAAAATAAACAAATATCCATTTGTCTAAGGTGAATTAAACAAAGAGTTATACATTTTATTTAAATTTTAAAAATGTTTTTTTTTGTGTGTATAATGAGAGAATGTATATTTAAATAATCATAAAAAGATTTAATTTTTAAAAATATTTTCAAATGGATATCCATTTATTAAAAAAAAACATTTTAACAGATGGGTTACATGGATTTTATTAAATACATAATGGATGAATAAAATATTTTTAATGAGTTTTTAACCATCAATTATAATCTAAAAATATATTCAATTTATCCATCCATTTAACATGTTTATTTCTAATAGTCCAAAAACTTTTACACAAATACATGTTAGGTTAAAATCTCATCTAGTTGTACATGATTCTTTAAAAGCATCTATTTTCTAGGAGCAATTTTTAGTTATGGATAAATATTTTATATTATTTTTAAAATTATAAGTTAATTTTAGAATTACTGTTCAAAGTCAACTATAAACAATAACATATTTATCATCTAAACTGATTAGTTAAAATATATAAAACAAAAATTAAAATTAACTTATTTTATTTTATGTTACTTATTTACTATACAAGTTTAACAATAACACACACCCTCCACCCACGTTTCATTTGACAAGTTCAACGTACCTACCAACAACACACAGTTGACCGTACACACATTTTATTTAATAAGTTCAGTATATATATACGAAAAGTCATACCTTTAAAAACTTCAATAATGATATTTTATTGAATATATAAATTTTTTGACAATAGTATTAAATTCGTGGTGTGTTTAATTTCATATGGTAAAACTATATTTATTTATATAATTTTTATATTACATTTTATATTAGATTAATTTTTAAATATATTCTTAAATATATATTATATTTAACATAATTCACTCTATCCATGTAAAACTACTTAAAACAATTTAACTTTATCTGTTAGACTCTTAAATAGAACAAAAAATTACTATCGTTTAAAATTTGTAGCATTCTTAACGTACATTTTTAACATATAAGTTATCAATAGAAATAAATTTTAAAAATGAAAATAATAATAAATAATATAATTTTTAATATCAAATAAAACATTTTTAACATACATTTTTCCTCTATATAAATTACAATAACGGTTTTAAATTAGAGCACTTTTAACAGTTATTTCTAAAAAAACTTTTTTTTCCTTATATGGAAGTGTTTTTAGGAGAAAAAAAATCTAACCTCTTATTTCTCTAAGCTGTCTATTTTATTTATAAATTAAATTTCTATTATCGTATAAATATCAATAATTAAAATAAACTTGTATTACAATATAAATTTTATCATAGCTGTAGAATATATTTTATGTTCAAAAACATTTATTATAATAAAATAAAGATAATATAATTCACTTGTTATAATTTTACTTAAATCTAAACTTAATTTAGAGTCATATTATTACTTTAAAAATTTCACAAAACATTTTATTTGATATTGAATATTAAAAAAATTATATGTATACCTTTCGTTATCACCGTAATAAAAATTATTATATAAAAGTGAGTCTGGTAAAAAAAAAAATTATTATGAACTCTCTTTGCATTTCTCCCGGCGTTCAAGAGTTCATCAACCCTCAGCTTATTTAAATCATAAAATAATAACTATACTCGTCATATGCTTGACTAAACATTCATTTTTAAAGAACACTGAGGCTAAATATTTTATTAAGAATAAAATGAACTAAACATGAATATATGATGAAACTAGGCATGGCGTGGGCGTGGACCGGTGGGGCGGTGGCAGGAATGAGTTTTGCTTCCCCCAATCCCCCTCCTTATTTCTTGTCCTTATTCCCGATATCGATTGGAATTAGAAATTAAGATAGAAATTAAGTATTTATCGTCATTTTTGTTAAGTTTTAGATTTTTTTTTGCCTCTATCCCATTTTTCATTTATATTATTCTAAAAAAATTATTATATTTATAATAAAATATTTTTTTTATGTATTTTTTATTCATAAGTAAATATTTATAATTTTATATTTTATAATTATTATTAATTAAATATATTTTTTAATTTATTATATTTATATTAAAAATATATATAAGATATATATTTAATTATTATATATATAATATTTATAACATTATTATTATTATTATAATATAATATTAAAACATTTGAATATTTATAATATTATTGTTATAATATTATATTCAAATATTTGATTATATATAAGTTAATTTATTTTTAAGTTGTTATTTAAAAATATAAATTAATAAATTAATTTTTATTTAATTAATTTGAAATAATAAAAATTTAAATTATCAAAATTTTTTAATTTTTTAAAATATAATTATTTTAATAAGATAAAATTTGATATATGATAAATAAGATTTAAAAGATATGACATAATAAATTTAATAAATATAAAATATAAATAAAATAATATTAGTTATTACTTAGATTTATGAAAAATATTAAAAAAAATAAAGAATAAAAAATAATAATTTTATATTTATCAAATTAATTAAAAAAATTGAAAAAAAAATAAATTGAATAAAAAGATTAAAAGAATGTAAAAATTTGGAAAGTAAAAAAGGATAATAATATAATAAAAAGATAAAAGAATTAAAAAATGAATAAAAAATAAAAAATAATGAAATATAAAAAATAATTTATATATGATAGAAAAAATACAAATATTTTAAAATTTAAGTTTAAATATAAGATGGGAATAGGGTTGAAATGAAGATTTTATTACCTATCTCCACCCCCTCAAATTTTTTCCGTCCGTCAAATTTGACATAAAGAGAGATGAATCCGCGTAAAAATGGGTTTAATTGTGAAACTCGTATTAGACATAACCAATCATCATTGTCAATAATAAAAAAACCATTGTCAAAGCCTAAACCCTTCGAATTTTTCCCAGAATGTTTGTGCAAGAGACATTGATGAACTACATTTAGAATATAAATGGACTACATTTGGAATGTATGAAACTACAAGCACGCCACCAATATCAGATGAACGCAAAACCATAATTGAAACTTCTGAACTGTCATGTGCCTCAGCAAAAACAGGAGCTGCCAATTTTTGATGACCAAGTTCTTCCTCGGTTTCAGCTTGTAGCCGCTCATTATTTTGGTCTCGTTCTTTAGCAATAGAATAACCAATGAGATAGTGGTAAATATCCGAACACTTGAAAAAGCCTCAATTTGAAATCAGAAAATCTGTGACTAAGAAGGAGGTTGGATTGACCATGCTCAAACGGTACACGACACATTCTTGTGTTTATAAAAGACAGTATACTCTCAAAGAACAATGATGATAAAAAATATTAAAAAATGACAATCAAACTGCCTCAAGATAGTTATTTACGGTATACATGAGAAGATATACATAACCAGTAAGACGCCAACAAAACGAAGAATAATCAAAACAACTATCGCTACGTGATAAAAGATTATGCAGCAGTAGCAGCAACTACAATAAGGCCTGTATTTGATTTTATAAACAAGTTGTGCCTAATATACTGTGAAACAAAAGATATGCAATTTCCCCAACATGGCTGCTAGAAACCTTTTCTGACTAAACTTCGTCTTGACCATGACTGGTACTTTTCAAGATGTTATACTTGCAAAGGGGGCAAGTAGCATTGATATGCAGCCATTTGTCCACACAGGCACAGTGAAAATGGTGGCCACAAGGTAGTTGTCTAAGTTCAACCCCGTCATCATAAGCAGAAAGACAGATGCAACATTCCTACAGTTTGCAACACAATTTTCAGATTAGGAGAACAACAGAGGGTGCAATCAGTTTTCTGAAAAAAACTTGTAATATTATAAAAAATAATCTCCCATTTTCTGGAACCATTTTTTCAAATTCCTTCCAACGGAAAGTTTGATTGAAAAGATAGGCCAAAAAGGAGGATGAAAGGCCAAGCACACCAAAATTAATACATAAGCATTCTCCACTGTAAGAATGTGTTCAAAACACGACTCTGTGCTATGCTTATAACAAGGCCATGCTTGGAACAAATACGGATTTCCCTTTGAAATATATTGAAAAAGACAGACAGAGGAAAGAGAATATCAGGGAAAGGGAGTAAAAGGCCAAGCCAACACATAGCAAAAATGAACAGCATACCGCATCCTCATCAGAAAGTACAAGTTCAATGGGAGAATCACTATCGCATTCAGTCATTATTCCTCCAGCAGATCCTTGTGTATTCCCAGAAAGTTTCTCATTAGTTTCAGTTCTTTGGAACTTGAATTTTGACAACAGCTCAATGTCTTCTTTTGATGCCCCTTCCTGCTTTTTTTTAACCACAACAAATGAGAAAAAAGACATTAGGCGAGGGATAGTACAAGTATTAGATGACAACAATTATCACACAATTAAATACTCTTAAGTGCCATGTTTACTGAAACACTCAATAATCACTAATACATTCACAATGCACCAAGTTGCAAGAAAGTAATATGACAAATTTTAATCCTTACAAATACTAGGGGGTCAACAATGTCAACCTAAATAAAGCAAACATCGACAGGACAAAATACGCTATCTCAAAAACAAAAATATATAGGACATGTCAATTTGTCATGAGTACATCATGTTGTAATTCACCTCATCTTCAACCCTATAAGTCTAACGGACACATTATTTAATAGTCTTCATTTTCTAAGATGCTCTCAGCAAACCAACCTAAAGAACTTTACGTTTTACTCATCACGGTAGGTCAAGCCACCTTTCATATCATGCATATGCAAATATCTCAAAATTAGTTACACCTCATCAAAAGTCATTTTTGTGTTTGCATAAAATTTCAGAGCTCATCACAATATTTCTCATACTTTTTTATTAAATGTTAATTCACAACCAAGAAACAATACCATTTTCATTAGCCAGATGGCTAGACCAGTCAAATTCCTTCAATGGTTACCCATTGTATTTTAGGATAGCAAAACATTCCCTTTTACCATATTATTCACAAGACTGTTTCTTTTATTTTCTTCATAAAGAAGGCAAAGGTCTGTAAGAGAGAAAAATTAATGTGTAGATAAAGGTGCTAGCTCCTCCAAGAAAGTCAAAATAGCATTATCAGGCTCAAGATATTATGGTTTATGTTATTCCCCTTAAACAGTAGAAAAAAAAATGTAATAATTCCTTTTAACAATTCATATGACTGACTGAACCTAAGGCACAATAGATTAATCTTCAATCATCCCAATATTCCATTAGTAATTTCTGCTAAGAATCTTATACACTAAAAGATCCTACCGAAGTCACACCACAACAAGCAAAAATAATGAAAAATAAAGATTTCACATATTATGCTGGTAGAAGACAATTTTTCCTTCACTACCAACTCTGTCTGATCTACAAAAAATAGATCCTAGAACCTAGCATATGTACCTCTTTATACCAAATAACAGTTCTATATTCATTTTAAGTGTATCCTTCCATTTCATTTAGACTCAGTATATTCAATATTTGGAACCATAAACTTCACCGATTTTCTTCGAAGAATTGGCAGGCAAATGCCTCTAAGTAGAGCCAAATTCAAGGAAATAAACACTTGAGGCACTAGATTCGTACTTCCTACCAACTCATACGAGAACCGTAATGATACCATGATGTACCTGGTCTGCAACTGCATAAAGGAGTGCAATGATACACGGAAGACAACAGCAGACAGCTATACCAATGATGCATGCTAGTGCAATACAGAAAACGACAAAGAAAACATCAAAACCCAGGAAGGCTATACATAACCTGCAAAGCAAGTAGAAATTGTCAAAGATAATCAACTAAAATAACCTAAGTTTCCCAAAAGAAAAACAAATTACAAATAAATATAAGGAGATGTATGAATGAAAAAGTTGCACAAGCACACATGCGTCAGACAGAGAGCAAGAGAAAGAGAGAGGGGGAGAGAAAGAGAACAAACCAGTAAAGCAGCGGAGAATCTCGGACCAAAGCTTCACTGTCAGCTGATATCCAATAGAATCCAACAACCCACCAAATAAATGAAAACATTGTGTTGGCTGATTCCAAATGCTTGGCCATACTGTTTGAAAAATAAAGCATAAAAACTGATAACATCGAATAAAAAACGAAGAACGAATCAATAATTGATGGTACTAATTTCCTGAATTAAAAATATTGCACTTATTGTATCATTGTCTCAACCTTAGCTTCTGATTATTTTCGAAAGAACCTAAACAAACACATAGAAAATGGCAAAAAAAAAAAAAAAAACTCAACAAACTGACCCATGTATAACCTTGCTGGAATTTGTATGGCCAATAAAGCATTCTCCCCTAATCATCCGTTATTTACATTTCTACACTTAGCCACCGTACTGGTTGTGTTTCAAAAATCATGTGTTACTAATCTATCGGTTCAAAAACCCACAAATTTACACCTGTGTTTTAATTGAATGAATAAAAATAACTTTAGTATCTGATAATTCAGCCAATTATCAGATGGGAGAGACTTTTATATCGATTCGTACAAAGTTACAAGATCAACTTCAGTCGCTCAAAGCAAATTGAGAGAGATTTAGAGATCTAAGAGGATTACAAAAAGTTGGAAAATCAAATCATTTGAAAATTTTTGAACTGACAAAATTATTTTCTAAATAAACAACTGAGAAACCCAAAATTTCCCCGTGGGTTCTCTGAAGCATGGAACTGAAGCGTTGCCAGAGTTTCCAATTAACAAACGCGCATCCTCACAGTACAGTACAGTACAGAAACTGCTTATATCATGAAACTTTGATTAGTTTAGCGGACTTTGTAATAACATCATAGCAGACACCTAAACGCATACAGGTTCCTTAAATTCACTTTGCAAACTTTTCATTTCATTATAATCCAGCGCTATCCTAACAAACACGGACAAAGAAAAGAAAAGTACTCATGAATTCAATGTGCAAACGCATAGTTAATGTTCAGAAATTCACCTTATACCATCGTCCTCGAACTGCGGCAACGAGACTGAGTTTCCAGAAACATCCATCGAAGCCGAACTCAAATCCCCGCTGCCACCAACAGCGACGGTGGCGTTGGACTGTTCACGGCGGCGTTGGCGCTTACGATATTCAACGCAGACGCATGCGACGTGAAGAACGCACTGCATAGCGTAGCCTACAATCCACAACCTGAGAGGCATGTTCGGATTCTCGTTGCGACCGAGAATTAAGACGGTGGCGGCGGCGGTGACGAACGCGAAGTTCCAGAGAATATCCAAGACCACAACGGGCTTCGAATAGGCCCAATCGCTCTGTCTTTCTTCCAATTGCTCCGCCGCCGCCTCCCGCACCATCATCGACGGCTCGCGCATCAAGCGGCGGCCACTCGCCTGCCTCAGAAAACGCGCCGCCTCTCGGAGGCTCGGGCGGCGGAGGAGACGACGGCCGGAGGTAGAGTCATCGGGAGAGGTGGCGAGGAACGGCGTCGGATCGGCGCTGTCCTCGGAAGAATGGTTAGGTGACCTTGTCGTCGCCATGTCTGAGACGCTTTAGGACATCTGAATCGGAATCTAGTTCAGACAGTGTCAGATAAACAAGGGATTCCAGAAATGGGTGATTCAACAGGGATGAATATGGAAATAGGTATTGTCCGAATGGAAAATTAAATCACGATTGTGTTTCTTTTTCAGTGTTCACTGTCTAGGAGGTATCCCAACGGTACCGTTTCTATCGTCTGGAACGCGCATTCGTCCTTTCCCCGCTGAAACGAAACCTAACGAATTGGGCTTTTATTTCTTTTTTTACGAGGGAATTTCTTGAAACTTCTAAAGTCGCAAATGTCGGCGTCGTTTTATTTAATTAATATAGAAATATGATAATTGTTTGCAAAAGAAGTAATGTGTAGAGAGAAATGAACCCAGAAAATATTAAAATAAAATGCACTGAAATTGGAGTGAAAAAAATATATATATATATATATATTTACTTATGTATTTTTTCTTAATTTTTTTTATGAGAGGAAACTGATATTTTATATAAACTTTTGTCTTTTGCATGTCATTTTATGAAAATATTCTATATAAAATTAACCTATTTTTATATTAATTAAAATGTAAATATTATTGTACGCGTTGTTTACATTTTAATCACACTGTCTCATTTTTAAAAGTAATGTTTATATTAATTTTTATTTTATATTTTGAATAAAATATATGTATTATTATTTTTTATTTTATGTGATTTTATTTATTATATAAAAAGTAATTTGATTACATACATTATTTATTATGTCCTGCATTGGAGTCCAAATCTCCCAACGAAATTTGTGTCGAAGTTTTTATTTTTTTATTATTCCCCATTTAAGTGTATTTTTATTTTTTTTTTATATTGAGGGTTACATTTCACTGTGGATATTGGGTGTTAGAGGAGTATAAGATGTGTTGTTTAATTTTACCTATTATATGAAAAAAAAAAAAAAGTTTTTCACTACTGCTCATCAAAATTCCAACCAACAATTGAGGTAATGAGTGTGTTTTTAGTCACCAAAACAATATTGTTAAAAATTTAAAATATAATTAACAAGATAACTAATTTGTGTTGAGAAACCATTGTATATTTTGGATAACTTTTTCTATAACTAAAGTTATACTTTCCTTATTTTTGTTTACCATCAGATTTGATTAAAATTGCACATTCACACTTTTATTTGTTACTAATTCTATTTATCTGTTTCCTTTTTAATTGAAATGATTTTCAGGTTGTGAAAATAGTTTTATAATTAATATAAATATTTAAAAAGTAGGTTGTATTAAATTACAAATTTTGTGAACTAAATAAATTTATATTTATTTTGTTTAGATCCATTTAAATAATGAAATATGAAAGTTTAAATCAAATTAATTTATAAATTTATTGTTAAGGTTGAAAAAAAAATAGATTTTAGTTCATGATAAAATTTTTATCATAAAACTAATTAATAACATATGAAATAATTTAACACGTATACTAGATGACATAATACAATGATATAATGAGATTTCTAACACTTATAAATCAGTTTTTTTATAAATTAATAATTATTTTTAATACAAATATATTATTTTATTATAAATATATATATTATAAATTAATTTAATAAAAAATTCATTTATTATAAAAATAAATATTAATAAATATCTAATAATTATTTTTTAAATATTAAATAATTAAAATTAAATATTATTTTTAATTAATAAATTACTTAAAAAATATAATAATGATAAAAATATTAAATAATAAATTTTTAATCTTTATTTGAAATTTAATGAATTCAATCTCGTATTATCTATATCTCAAATAAAAAATAATTTTATAATATAATTTAAATATATATTTTAATTTTTAATTTTTATTTAAATATTTTTTAATTAATTATTTTTATATAAACATGTTAATAATTTTTAAATATTTAATTATATTAAAATTGATTTATTAATTATTGACCTAATATAAAAAAAACTAAAATTAAAATCACATCTATTTTAAAATCTAAATTAAATTGAACTATTCATTCTTATTATTTAACTCGTACACCTCATCAGATTTAAATTTTATTTATGTTTTTTTTTAATTTCAAGCTAATATTTTAAATTTATAGATTTATTTAATTATATATATTGTGATATAAAATAAAATAAAATAAAAACAAAAAAGATAAAATTTAAAATTTAATGATTATATTTTAAAATAAATCTAATTTTTTATAAAAGAAATACATAAAATTGTAAAAAGTTATTGTTTATGTTTGGCTATATATTAATAAAACCGAAAAATGGTGTAACTCCAATTATTAAGTAAAAAAAAATATATATATATATATATATATATATATATATATTAAAACATTTTTGTTGCTTGTAATAGGAAAAATGTGAGTAAATGATCCATAGAAGTGCCAAATCATGGATTGAAATACTGGCTAAAGAAGTACAACAAATTCTCTGTTTTTTTATTTTTGATTGCCACATTTTTTTTAACTCTTTCTTAAGCATATGATTCTTATCTTTCTTATGGTTCTTGCAGGTGCTTACCATCATTGTGAACAAATGTCCTATTTTCCCCTAACCAAAGAAAATGAATTAGTGAATTTAAAATTTTTAGCAAGTAAATCAAATATTTTCAAATCATGACAATATATATTTATATTAAGAATACAAATTACAAATTTATTATTTAATTTTATCAATTATGTTATAGTAGTATAAATATTATTCTAAATTATTAAATTAAAAAATATAAATAATAAGACAAAGAAAATATTGTTATTTTTTAACAAGTGAATCATTGTTCATATGTCTATAATAATTTTTTTCTAATTTAATAATTTAAAACGATAATTTATTTTAAATATTAAACTATAATGAGATAATATATATATATATATATATATATATATATATATATATATATAATTCTTAATGAAAAAAAGTTACATATGTAAGAAATTTGTTGTAATTTAGTCATCCAATCAATCCATTTTGAATTACTTTTCTTTGTCTTATTATTTTGCTCCATAAATCCCATAATCTCTGGTGATAAAAAATAAAATATAACTTTGATTCATATTTATATATCTAGCTTTTCTTTGTTTATATTTAAATTTCCATTTTTAGTGTTTGTTATATTTAAAAATCATGGTTTGATCTTACATATAAAATCTATTTTGAAATTGATTTTGTATCATAATTTTTATCCATATAACGTTTAAATTTAAATTAACCAATTAAATAAATATTTATAATCATGTATGCATATATTTTTTATTTTTTTTTATTTTATATTTTATTTATTATATTTGTTCTCTTATAATTATTTTTTTATTCTTTTCAATATAATTAATAAATTAGTTAATAGAAATATGTCATTTGTCTGTGTTATTGAAACATTCTGAAATATATTTCTGTATCAATTCTTTTCTTCCCTTAAAGTATATTAAATTACACCTTTTCTTCCATTTTATTTTTCTCATCTTAAATATATTATCTTAAATCTAAATGATAATGAAAAATGGTATTTCCCCTAATTTGTATAAACAGTTTGAACGAATATATTTTAAATGCATATATATTAAATTAATAAATCAAATTTTTTTATAGTTAATTAACATAAATTACTATTTGATTCCATTTTTTAATACACATGTTTAACTCATCAGATTAGTAAATAAACATCATATTCAATAACTCAAATTTCTTAAATAATTGATTATCTAGCTAGCATTTTTTTATTGTTTTAAAAATATTTGTTAGTATTTTATTTTATTTTTAAAATAAAAAATATTTCATAATTATTTTATTAAAATAATTAAAAAATATATTATAAATTTTTAGTTTTTTGAAACTAAAAAAATAAGAAAGGTGAGTTGTTGTTTTTCTTAAAATCATAAAAAAAAGTGTCTTTTTATTTATAACTAATGTTAAACTTGTAAATATTTTAAAACTAAAATTGGTCACATTCAAATTTAAATATTTTATAACATTCTTGTATACCATTTTCTTAACATCTTTATTATTCAAAAAGTGCAATGAGAAGTGTCATTGCACTTGCATCTTCTGTTAATCATCTCAAATTTGTGTATTCATTATAAATCAGTTTGTTGATTTTTTTTTAATTAGAATCATATTGAAAGTATTCATCATACTAGAAATATTTTATTTTAAATATATGAGTTTTTTATTTATTTTACTTTTTATATAATTTATAAATGACAAATATTATTTTCATATATTCTAATGCTCGTTTTTCATAGATGATAAATAATATTGAAAATAATAATTTAAAACTTTAATTTAACTTATATATAATTTTTTATATTTATGGATACTTTTTTATTTTATTTATAATCATTTATAGAGAAGAAAAATATGATATTCATATTTATTGAATACTAAGATTAAATTTATTTGTTAAAAAAATAATTAATAAAAAGTTATAATCAAAGTGATTTTCTTTTAATTTTTAAAATCATTTTTAAAAATAATTTTATTATTTTCTCATTCTTAAAATCATTTTTAAACTATATTATCAAATGAGACATTTTTAAATGGTTTACTATTTTTTTAAATTAAAAATTCACTTTATCAAACATGTTCTTAATTATTAATCTTTTAATATATTTTTGGTCTGATTTTTGTGAAAAAAGATTATAAATCATTTTTTTCAAGAAGCTTAAATTTACAGTCAATTAAACAGCTGTCTGTTTTTTTTTTTTTTTTTTTTTTTTTTTTTTTTATAGACTCTTTGCTTGATGATTACATGGGGTATGAAGAAATTGTATTATGTTGAGTCAATCAATATAATATTTTGACACCTTAAGAAGTTGACCAATTTTTTTTAGGGTTTTCACAAGTTTTTTTTTATTATTATATTGAGTATTTTAATTTTCTAATACTGATGAAATTAAATAAAATAAATAATAGACAAACCATAAATAAAATATAATCTTTAAATATTAGAGTTAGAAATGTTCAAAATTTAACCAGTAAAAAATATTACAAATTGATAACAAATTAAAACTATATAAAATTTGATTTTTTTTATTAAACTTTGTAGATCTATTTTTTCAACAGAATTAAACAGTTTAATATATTTAATTCTAATATAATTAGTTTAAATTATTTTTTACTTAATAAGGATAGGTTATAAATATTGTTTTATAATTTAATTATATTTTATATATAACATATTTAAATCTATCAAAATATCCTATCAATTTTATAAAACTGTATAATTTATTTATAAATATAAAATACATTAAAATTATAGATGGAATAATGATTTAATGATTTTTTGAAAACTTCTATAAATATACAAGATTATTGAAATTATTTTTATTATAATTTTAATGATTTTTTACATTTTTATAATAATAAAATAATCTAAATGGAATCATATTAATTTAATTCAATTCAAATTTTTAAATAAATTAAAATTTATATTTAATTGTAATAATTATTTAATAAAAAATTAAATTAAAACGAATAAAAATGTTCCAAGAATAATTTTGAAATATACAAATTATAACTAATATATAAAAAAGTAGATTTTGTGTTAAAGAAAATACTCCTCCATATAGGGTTTTGGGATTTGTCTGTTTTTCGTCTGCAACCTAACCGAAACCCTTGTTTGAAGTATGTCATCGTCTTCGTCTATCATGGCCTATGACATGCCATGGGTAGAGAAGTATCGTCCCAACAAAGTCGTTGACATAGTCGGCAACGAGGATGCGGTCTCCAGACTCCAAGTCATCGCTCGTGATGGCAACATGCCCAATCTCATTTTATCAGTATGTTTATTTATCTCATTTTGAGTCTTAAATTAACAGTTTTTCCTTAATCTTTTATAATAACTGTCTCGCAATAGGGTCCTCCTGGGACAGGAAAAACAACTAGTATACTTGCCCTGGCCCACGAGCTTCTTGGACCAAATTGCAAAGAAGGTGTTCTTGAACTTAATGCATCTGATGATAGGTTTGTTTTCTGATTTTTCATTTCACTTTTTTGATTGCAACTATTCTTTTTTATTTATCCTCTGACTTTTTGTTCTAGAGGAATTGATGTTGTGAGGAACAAGATCAAAATGTTTGCTCAGAAGAAAGTGACGCTTCCTCTAGGGAGGCACAAGATAGTAATTCTGGATGAAGCTGATAGGTGAGTATTTAATGTAATTTAATTTATTCCAATTAACTGTGTTGTTGCATGTTTCAATACAACACTATGTTTGTCCTAATGGTTCGATTTTTGCTTATAAAAAAGGTTGAATGATAGGGAAGAAATTAGTTACAAGTAGAGCAGTGAATATTTTGAGTTTATAATAGGATAACTAAGAAATCCCTCTAACTTTGTTCTTTTTCCCAATTCAGCATGACCACAGGGGCACAACAAGCACTGAGAAGAACTATGGAGATATATTCTAACTCTACTCGGTTTGCCCTTGCTTGCAATACCTCAGCTAAAATTATTGAGCCCATTCAGAGTAGATGTGCCATTGTGCGGTATTCACGGTTATCCGATCAAGAGATACTTGGTCGACTTATGATTGTGGTTCAAGCTGAGAAGGTACCTCAAAAATCCATTCTTCCTTCAACCATCATAAGACTGGGCTTGTGGTGTTCTTATTTGTTAGAGTAGCATAGGTTTGATTATCTGTTAAAAGCCTTCAACCATTCTGTTTGTCAAAAGACTTTAGACTAATAATACAAAAGGGAGAGCTCTTGATTTGAAAAGAACTTGGAAGGTTTGCCAATTCGGATTATTATATGTATTTGCTGCGCTTTGTTAACTGAAAACAAGGACATTTAAATGGTATTCACACTTATTTTTCTTGACAAATAGTCTTATAGTTAGTGATGTACAGGACCTTAGAAATGCCATTACTTGGACTTGGCTGTTTCTTGTTTTTTGAAGATATGCAATATATTGATTCGAAAATTCTTGAAGTAGATCATGACATTTTAACAAGTTGGTTTTCCTGTGGCCACAAACTTGATGTTTTTCTACCTTTGAGGGATTTCAGGTCACCACTTTCGAGAGACTTTAGATGATGCAATCTTTTTGGTTTGTTTTTCAGGCACCAGCTAGTTAGACCAATAATAGTGTATTTGTATACAGAAGTTTGCAGAATGTTCTTTTTAAGTGAATTCACGTGTTCAAGGTGTTAGGTTATTGTAGTAGTATTTGACTAGTGCCATTTTATGCCTTTTGAGCTTAAAGTCATGATCTTCTTAAATATTTGATCACATGCTTCCTTGGTTTTGCTGCTTCTATGTGATATAGTAGTAAATGGTTTGCAAAATGTTTATGACAACTAAATCTTACCGGAGGGATATATTGTGCATGCATTCTTAGTTTTATAAAAGGTGACCTAATGTACGAGGCTCCCACCGTTGTGGGTTCTTTATCGTAGAAATTGTTTCAAAGATTCTTGTCATGGTAAGGTAAAATGCTCAGGAATAGCCTTTATGGTCCTAAAACTGTTTTTAGTTGCCTCAATTATTGATGGTGGACGGGATCGCATAACCTGGCTGAAGCAGGGTTGCTTTGACAAGAATAATACATATAATTTTTAGTAATTACTGTTGATATATTTAGTGGTTTTTTCTTCCAAATTTTATATTTTCTCACTTATTTCTCACGAATGAGACCTGGTAGAATTTTCGTTATAGCTGCCATGAGCCTCCATGAGAACAGTGCCATGCCATAACACTGGCGTCTCCGTGGCTTTCTATTTGCTAATACTGGTCGTCATCTATGTGGCTTCAATAATATTGAGGAAATGTATACCTGACGCGTGCTCTTGATGAAGGTTCCCTACGTTCCTGAAGGTCTTGAAGCCATCATTTTCACTGCCGATGGTGATATGAGACAGGCATTGAATAATTTGCAAGCAACGTACAGTGGGTTCCAATTTGTTAACCAAGAAAATGTTTTCAAGGTTAGAATAAACTATGATTTGCATTTTTAGCAGTTTGCCATTGGTTTTAGTAAAATCTATGGTTGGTTTCAGGTTTGTGACCAGCCACATCCACTTCATGTGAAGAATATGGTGCGTAATGTAATTGAAGGGAATTTTGATGAGGCTTGTTCGGGGCTCAAACAACTGTATGATTTAGGATATTCTCCCACAGATATCATCACGACTCTTTTTCGTATAATAAAAAATTATGATATGGCTGAGTACCTTAAATTGGAATTCATGAAGGTAGTTAATAATCTGTTCGCTTATTCATTCACACGCATGCATAAAGTATCTGATTAACATGGTTTTCAAATTGCAGGAAACTGGGTTTGCTCATATGAGAATTTGTGATGGAGTTGGATCTTATCTTCAGTTGTGTGGTTTATTGGCTAAGCTTTTTCTAGTTCGAGAGACGGCTAAAGCTGTATGAGCAAGTCTTGAGTGCAACTGAGTTGTCATTGTTTTTTTCACATTTCTACTGTTGTAGCCTTGTAGTTTCTTATGTCCTGACACGAAGTGATACATCAATGCTTCGAGCTCTTTAAATATGTTATTTTTAGCTTGGATGAACTCGAACACTTTTGAAAATGTTTTATCTGTATAGTATTTATTTAGTTATATCTCAATGTTAAAATATGTTATAAATCAAGCATTACTTCTCAAGGTATTGGAGCTAATGAGCTATATTGAATATGGTGGATAGTTAACTTTGACAATTGGACAATGGGAGGGAAAATAGATGGAACAGGGTTTGCTGCAGTCAACAAATCTCTCAATTGGTAGATTAATTCAAGGCTTCATGCGAACGTCATCATTTTTTTTGTCTTATAAACCAATTCACACAGCAACACTAACTTCCCCATATAAAACGCATTTGGATTAGTCAAATGAAGCAGCATGCCTCGATATTCATTCACTATGTATATATGAAAGTAATTTGGTGCACGTTTTGCCTTGAGACAACTACTACACAGTATTTATTTCTTGCAGATAGGGTGAGCAAAATTTTACAACCCCATCGTACCCATCCCAAGATGAAACTAAGACGATTGGATTTAATAGGGTACACAAATTGAAGTACAGGGATAAGTTTTAAAATCGTAGTGTTCGATCTGATCAATACAATCTTATCATTGTTTCGAAAACCTTGGATATTAAAGCGGAAAAATGAGTGAAATTCTTTCTATCTGCACGACGTTTATTACACTTTGCGAGAACTAGTTGTATCCATTCACCTTCGGTGAGTCTACAAAAATTTAGATCGAGGTTGTTTTTCTTCATCTTTCATTCTCGTATTTTAGTTTTTTTTTTTTTTTTTTTCATCTTTCACTCTCTTTCATGTTCTGAATTATCAGATTCTATTATTTACATTTCTTCCTTCTTCCAGACCCTATGCATACTTTTTGATGAATTAATTTTGTAGAGAGTAAGATCAACGATGAGATTGAATCCTTTGAACTCTATTTTAAATTATTATTTTTTATTCTCTGATTTCATGGCTTGACGATGACGTAAGCAACATGACCATAAAATAATGACTTTGTTTGACTTGTAAATATTTGAAATTAGAGTAGGTCATATAAGTAATAATTCAATTTTTCTGTGTTGATTATCCTCAAGGTGGTTGACGGGTGGGTTAGGTCTTAGAACTTTTTTTTTAAAACGTTTCATTTTTTTTTAATAAATTATAAACTAAAATTATGATAGTGCATTAACAATGTGTAATTTTTCACATTTAATTTTAAATTTCTCATCTAGGTATGTTCAAAAAAGGTCTTAAAATTTGTAAAAGATATAGAATTATTATTATTTTGGATAAATTAATTGTAACATAAAACTTTTTTTACAGATATAATATTATAATAATATATATATACATATCAGTATTGAGTATATTTACTCAATTGAACCTGTTTACTGTTCCGTTTGGAATTCGATCTCTTGGAAACCGACTTCTAACCTTAAATTTGTTATATTATAAATATTATATTAATAATAATAATTTTTAACTAATTAAATAATATATTTACTTTATTATTTTAAAAAAATTAATTTTAGTATTAATTTTTTAATATAATATTTATAATTTATCAAATAAAAACTATTACATAAATTTTTATAATATAATATTTAATTTTTTTAATATATTACCTAAATTAAATTTTTATTTATTCTATTTTTTTCTAAAATTATAACTTAAATAATTCATATAATAAAAAAATATAAATTTTAAATTTCCTATTCAAAAATAATATATATATATATATATATAATAAAAAAGTTATTATTTAATATTTTTAATAATTATTTAAATATATTTAAATAATTTAATATATATTTAAATAATACATTATTTTTATTATTTTATAAATAAATATTATTTAAATTTTAAAATTAAAATTTTATTATTAATATTATTTTTATTATTTTTATATAATTTTTTTATTTTTAATTATATTTTTATTTAATTTTTTATTTTAAAAAAGATAACAAATTTAAGGTTGGAATTCGATCCGAATTCCAAACGTAACAATAAACAGGTTCAATTGAGTAAATATACTCTCTTTTATCTTATCTGACTTATAATGACAAAGTCAAAAATTTCAAAAACTCTAAAAAATGCACATAAAGTCAAATATTACTCATAAAAAGCTCATTATTAATAAATTAAAAATACAATAATATTCTTGAACAAGTTAAAATTCATTTTTGTCTAATAACCCATTTACAAACATAATCCCTAATAGTACATAAATACTCTAAAATTAGTGAAGAAGAAACTTACTCTATCTAAAATTATGATTAAGTAAAAATGATATTTTGTACTTCAAAAATACTAAGTACTCAAGTTTATAAATATGAAAGAAAGAGTAAAAAAATTAAGAATAAGTCATTGAGAAACAAATATAAAAAGATGATCATGTGAAAATGAAATTTGAATTTGTAAGTTTTTCTATTTATAATTTTTTTAACTTAATTCATAAAACTTAAACTTTATTTCATTATTATACTCTCAATTTATTTAAATTAGATCATTACATAATGTCTCTTTATTTAATAATTTTTCATTATAAAATATTTAATAATTTATAACAAAGAAAATTAAAAAATTGAACTATGAAAATGATTTTATTTTATTTTAATTTTATATTAAATAAAGCTAATCAAACTAAATCATATTTGATTGTTATGGTTGGTTCGGATGATTATTTGATAAAAAAAAAAAAAAACAAAACCGAGTGTGAATATTCCTATATTTTAGATGCTTAATGACTATTTTTTATATATTACTCCATGTAAGTTTATTTTTGACAAGATGTACAATGATAATAATATGAAATTTAAATTATATTAAAATTAATAAATTTTACAATAATAATAATTATTTAATATAATATGATATAATAAATATAATTATTTAATATAATGTAATAAATTTTAAAAAATAATATTTTATTCTTATTATTTTGTTTGAATGTTTTTTGTAAAAAAATAAAAAGTAAAACCTTGGCCTAAAACCTACTCACGGGAAACCGAATATTATGAGAGAAAATTAAAAAGAAAGATGGTGGCTCAGTGAATTCGGGTCCCTGCAGGCCGAATTCTTTCAGGAAGAAAATTAGGTCTAGTTGAGTAATTTTATTGGCAACGGGCCTATTCAGGAATTTATTTTATTTTGTAGGTATATTGGAGAAAAAAATTCTTTACTTGGATGATATAAATATCATTTAAGTGAATTATCACCAAATAATTTTTCACTTGAGCAAACAGTTACTACATAGTCCACATCTATCGTAATGACACGTAAAATATTATTTTTCATTTCTTCAACATATCCCATTTATTTGATATTATAAAGATTTGAATTAAATTTCTACTGATTAATCAGGATAAATAATCCATTTTTACTATATCTTCTTAGTGATAATTACTCATTTCAATCACCAAAATTCAATCTTCATCAATAATATCATCCAATCTTCGTAAAAAAATAATAATATAAATATAAATTAATAAATAGAGACCAATTCATAACTAGAGATAAAACAGGTAAGACCAAGTGTGTAACTAAAAATAAATAAATATAAAATAGGACCCGTATTTGGAGATAAATAAAACATAAAGTAGGATCGGTGCATAACTGAAGATAATTAAAATAGGACCAATACAGGACTGAAAATAAAGTAAATAAATATAACGCTAGACCACCACATAACTTGAGGTAAATTAAATATAAATGAATAAATAAAATTAGGTTATGGATACCTCACTCCACAATTATAAGTAAAAATTAAGAAAAATAATGATAAATGTTCAATTTCTCTACTTTAAGAATTGTTGATGATATACCAAAATTGGATGGAGATGACTTATTTTTCTTTCTCTCTCTTTCTTCCTTTTTCTCTCTCCTTCTTCTCTCCCTTGTCTTTCCCACTTGGATCCCTTTTATAGCCAATTTTTTTTTTATTTTTTTAAATTTATTTAATTAAGTCATTAAATGCACTAATTATGGATGACAATTAAATTCGTATCTGTGGGGACCGATCCATCATCGTCCCAAGTTTGATGAGCAAAAGCCGAGCTAACCGGGGCAGGTTCGGGTTTTCCCCACTTTAAAAATTCGGGGCGAGGGTCGGTAATGCAATCCCACCCGACCCAGTCCCTATCCGACTTTATATTTAAATTTGAATTTTAAAATATTAATATTTTAAAAATATTTCATTTTCTTTTTCTATTATATATAAGGTCATTTTTTTATATTTCACATTTTTATTTTTTTCTACCCATTTTTTAATTCTTTTATCTTTTTAATATTTTATATCAATTAGTTTATTACATTATTCTTTTTCTTTTACCTTTCAATTTTTCACATTTTCTTAATCTCTCTGATTAGTTTGTTTTTTTTTCAATCTTTTCAACTAATTTGATGAACATAAAGTTAATTTTTTTCTTCTTCTTTATCTTTTTCTAAATATTTTATATAAATCTTAGTAGTAACTAATATTATTTTATTTATAATTTATATTTATTAAGTTTTATTATGTCATATTTTTTTATCTTATTATTCTTATTTGTCATATATCAAATTTTATCTTAATAAAATAATTATATTTTAAAGGATTAAAAAGAATTGATAATTTAAACTTTTATTAATTCAAACTAATTAAATAAGAATTAACCTATTAAATATTTTCTTATAAATTATATATTTCATATTTTTAAATGAAAACTTAAAAATGAATTAACTTATGTATGTAATCAAATGTTTGAATACATTATTATAATAATAATTATAATATTATTATTATTATTATTATAAGTATTCAAATATTTGAATACATAATAATAATAATAATAATAATGTTATAAATATTCTATATATTATAAAAATGATTAAATATTTCTTTTACATATATATATATTTTAATA